AAGAAAGAAAGAAAGGGAAACGAAACACCAAGCATGTCCACGACTCAGAGTCCCTTGCCTTTTGAAAACAGAAGGGCTGGTCAACACAAATGTTATTGTTATACAGTCAAATCCACGGCAATATGTCAAGAGGCCACAAATCAAAAACAGAGACTGTGAATCAAGTGAAACTGTCTGAAAGTCCACGAGCCAAGCAAAAACCTTCAGGGGTTATTTGAAGGCAGCTGCCAGCTAGGAAGTGTGGAAATCGCAAGCAATTGGAATACACAGGGCTGTGTCAACAGATGAGAAGGAAAAGGAAGGTGCCTTGCGGGGACAGAAGGCAGGTTAGGGGTGAGAGAGAGGGAGAGAGAGGTGCCCAATGTGGGTCACCTGATTCTGAGAATATGACAGCCTCAAAGCAAGAAGAGGCCACACAACCTGGGACCTCTCCAGAGTTTAAAGAAACCTTTCACCAAATGCTTAAGGAAAACCTTGGAACAAATATTTAGAAGAGCTATGCATCTGAGACACATTCAAGTTATAAAACATCTACTAATGGTGGTTGAACTAAAAGCAAAAAGCTGGGGAGGATCAGAAAAAAGGCCTATCTCTGACATGGACTACAGAGGGACAGCTGAAACAGAATAGAGACCAGATGATGTGTTCAATGAGGAAACGCAAGATTTATAAGGCAGGAAGGAAAGTCAGGATACACTGAAAGGAGGGAGAGGCTTGTTTTGCATCTGCCTGTGTGCAAATCCTGCATGGGGTCCATTTTTGTTCTTTATGTGCCATTTCAGACCGTAAATGATTTACATTCTGCAAATCCTCTCCACCCACCCTCCCTTCGCGAGACGCCTAGGAACTATCTGTATCCGCCTTAACAGAGGGAACTCTAGGATTTTAAGTCAATACACGTGTTGTTGAATTGAATTTTCCAAATTTCTTTTAGGAGCACTGATTTTAGTTTATCATAATTAAGTGTTCACTTCTATACTGAATGGAATCTCTAAGTGCTGTTTTATGAAGTAAAAGAGAGACTTGAATTTCAATCTCGGCTATGCCACTAACGAGTTCTGTGACCCCAGGTCGCTTATTTAAATCTTGATGGTTCAACTTCCTCACCTGTAAAATGGGTATAATAAACCCTGCTGTTTCCCAGCAGTCACGTGGCTAAAATTGAGACATCCCTCCAAAGGTAAGAGTTTAACCAGCTGCTTGGCACAGAGAAAAAAATGGATTAAATGAGAGTTCCCTGCCCTTTCCCTAGTGCACCATGATATAATGTGATAGAATTTTAATTCAGGCAATTACTTAAGTAGTAATTGCTATTTGTATTTACATAGCTGCTTTGATCCTAGAAGCTCAGAGGGCTTTACTAAATTTAGCATTTTAATAAATGTTTCATTTGCACGCCGTTGATTTTGTTTACCCACACCAAAACTTGGAATTTCCCAAAGTGAGATAGTCAGACAGAGTTACGGAAACGAGATAGTTATCTTCCGTGTTTACAGGTATCCCGGGTCGGAGTTTTGTCTATTTACCAAAGAAGTCATGACGCCCTGGTCCTGTGGAATTAAATGACAGTAAGAGGTAGTATGAATGTGCCTGCTTCCCTTTGTAGCTCTCTTTAGCTCCTGCCTTTTGAACTTCATTCCCACCACGCTTCTCTCAGGCCCTGACAACAGAGGTAGGTTTATCGCGCCAACGAATATATACATACTACGTGTATATATAATATATATACATATAATATATATATAAAATATATATATAAAATCAGCACAATAAACATTCATTAAATCCTCAGGAGGAAATCAAAGCACGAAGCATGGCGCCAGTGCCGAATTCTAACGACGCGGAAGGTCCGTGACTGCACGGGGACAGGATCTTAACAAGCCTTGATGTGAGCGTTGGCAACTGCCTCGCAAATCACATGGGCCGCTCCTCCCCTGACGGTGCTGAATATTGATACATGTCTCTACCCTGCGCAACGGGGAAGTGGGTTTCTACTGGCAATCTTTACCAAAGTGTGTTTTTTTTTTTTTTCTCCCTTCTCTACACTCAAGGGTTTACCCTGAATGATTTAATTATAATTTTCCTTGTGTAAGACAAATTAAAGAGGAGAGTAGGAGTGTCGGGCCAAGCACATGATTTATCTCCTGAACAGATTGCAGCTCACCAAACCCCAGAGCTGCTGCTGCGGTGGCTGCTCATGGGAGCCCGCAGGATGCAAGGGGGCGGGGGAGGTCTTCCACATGGCATGGAAACACGCGGCCCAGTCGTGATCGGGAGACGACTCGCAACTTGGAAAACACACCAGAACTCTCACGATATCACCGTGGCCCGATGAATTTTTACACAGAGCACTCCCCAAGTCCTTTCAGAAAGAATCCTTAAAGCTGGTAACCTAAGCTACAGGTCCAGGAGCACCGGGGGTGGGATGTGGTGGGGAATATCACGTAGAAATCAAGGGAGAGCTTCGAAAGAGATCCATTTCACAAATGCCCTTGGTGAGTAAGGGATGAAACTTCTCCAAGGGACTCCTGAGACAAATGACAACTCACTGTGTAAGTGAGAACATATTTCGATAGTGACAGCTTTTTTTTTTTTTTTTAACCATCTTCCTCTGTTTCAACAGTAATATCACACGAGATTTTAAAATAAACCCTCAGAGGGTAAAAACACTCATTTATAAGTCCTTATATACAAAGCTGGCTAACTAATAATTGAATTTCTAGTGATCAATTTTTTAAGTTTGTTAAGTTTTTGACATATCTTTAACCTAAGGTACTCATTTGCCAAATTTGCTACGTTCGGTTAAAATGTGCTGACTAGAATCTGTTTTAACCCAGCCATGCCTAGGAACCTCCCAGGTAACAGAACCTGAGAGGTCCAAGAGGTTAAGCACGTAGCATATAATTTCATAGTTGCTTCTTCTTTGCATGAACAGTTGGAAAAGTCAGCCTGTTTTTATATCCAGTTTAAGGTTCGGTGGAATCGAAATACTTTTCTGATCCTTATTCGAATGCTGGCAGGTAGTATAAATGAAGATTAAGCCCAACTTTTGTGCAGACACATAAGGACCATAAAACGAGAAATCCAACGAACTGATTCTCCTAGAATTAGACTGCCTCTGAGATCCATTTACTTTCGAATGCACCTTAAGACATGAAAAGGGCTATTCTTCTCCTATTCGCCTCCTTGCTAATCTACTACCTGACTCCAGATACATAACCTTTTAGAATGAAACTGAGCATGGTGCATCTAAACAGGGAGAGCTTTCTGTGTCACAGGAAATCTGTGCAGGCTCCACAATGGCTGACAAGATTACAACAAATACCTTAAGTGCATCAGTTGGCATTTTTCAGCGTATGGTCTCCTGCTCTGCCTATGGATAAAGATGTAATTCGATCCCTCTGCAGTAATCGAACAGCATCAACCTCAGGGTACCAAACGCAAGTAGAGCAAAGGACAACAGCCTAGAACCTTTTCTTCAAAAGCTATCTAAGGTCTAGTTTGTTTGTTTGTTTACTTACAAAGGCATTCTAAGAGATTATAAAGCGAGAGCTAAGACTGGTCTCCAGACATCTAAATCTATGCTCACTAGAAACAAAAGAAGCCACATTTGGTCCAATGGCTCCAAATTAATTCTTACTGCCCACCATTCTGTTTTTCAAGCTCTTCTAAACCAGTAAGTTATAAGCATCTTTTAGTCCTTCTGTGTCTGCCACAGAAACTCTAAAGTGATTTTAAAAGGACAGTTGCAAGTTTTGGCTAAAACATATATAATCTCATCTCTGGAAACCTCTCATGGTTTTTACGGTGGAATGTGATACACACAAACATTCATATACTGTTTTCTGTGTTTACTAAGCTCTAAATGGATAAAATGCTGCTGGTATAAAGATACACATCTAATTAAATCAGTGGGCTTCTTAAGGTTCAATGTTTCAAGAAATACATGAAATTATATGTGTTAACTGCTTAACTGAAAAATAAAATTCAAAATTCTTTCACTGGGTCACTTTTATTAAAACAACCAAAATAATCTGGTTTTCCTGATGGAAGTGACACTTACTATCACCTACTACGTTTGAGGTTTCTTTCCTCCTGTGGGTGGACACTCTGCATATGAAATACACAGGGAACAGTTTAAAAACATTAAACTGAAAAAAAAGGTTTTATATATACGTTCTACCTTGGAAAAGCACTGAACAGTGGAATTAATAGTTCTGCGTGCTAAGGTATACTAACATGGATTCACAGCTTCCTTTTTCTTAGAGCCGTCTTCTCACATGATATATCTGGGACCTCCCAGTCAACCTCACCTTCAACTAACATCCAAGTGAAGCTCCGGGCAATCAAAAAATATAAAGTCTTAACTTCCAAACAGGAAGACAGAAATTGAGTCAATGCTACCATATGTCCCATGAGCAGGAGAAAGTGGCTGTGTATGCTTGTGCGTGTATACACGTGGACCCCTTCCATCTCTCCATCCCTCAAACATTCACTGATGGTTTCCAAAAAAAAAAGGCCAAGTACTCTGGGGACATGATGATGAAAAAGGTGGGCTCCCTGCCTCCAAGGAGGGCAGTGCCGAGTAGTGTGTGTTCTACCTTTTCTCAAACCATGATTCAACACAGCCTACAGCAGACAACGCTGTTCCCTTAGAAGACGCTTAAAGCCAAGGAAATCAGCTCGTGTACGGAGCGGGCACTTGGCAGAAAGAGTAAGTCTGGAAGCGTGGAAATCCAGCCCATCCGATGAGAGACCAAAAGACTCTGCCTGAGTTCCTAAGCTCAGGTTCGATCTACATAAGTGCTAATTCCATGCTGAAAAGGTGACAAGAATCAGATGCTTCACACCCGCACCACACTGAGTACATTCTGAGGTAATTATATGCACACTCCAGTCACATGGACCCAATTAGAGATCACCAAGATATGGCGAGGCCCGGCCACCCACCCCTCCGCGTCAAAGACAGCTTTGGACACATCTCAGATGGGCGTTCCTACCTTTCCCTTTTGGGAGTGTGGACTGACAGCTGTCCGTTGGTAGAGGCATGTGGGTTCATTATTAAGGAGGTCTTGGAAGGTGCAGAGGAAGAGACACATGTCGTGGTCAGATCCAAACTGCTGTGATTGTTGCCCGTGGTTTCTTCTGTCGTATGAGCACTTGTCACTTCTTTCCAGAGCTGCTGCAGTTCTGTTGGAATCATGCCTGAAACAAACAAATTGGATAATTAAATCAATTAACAGCTAATTCCGTCCTCTTCAAACAGTAATTAAATCAGAGAGTCAGTAAACAAAGCCCAGTGTTGGGGGGAGCGGGTTTGGTGCGCTCAGTTTTTTTCCTTCCCTCTCAACTAAGGCAAATACGGTAGGAACGAACGTGTCCTCCCCCTGAAGTGCCCTCATCACACATAAAAGACACCCGTGAAAAGGATTCAAAACACAGCTACTTCTTGCAAAGACTGTATGCCTCCATCCAAACTGTTGTTTCTAAATCGCTGCGGGGGGGGGGGGGGGGGGGGGGGAAATGCAGATAGATGTTACTGTAGTTTTAGACACAAAGAAGGGCTCAGAATAAATTTGTTCAACGTATACTATCATGACAACACGAGCCACAAAATGAATAATTTTTGTGCTTAAGCCTTAAATGATGACAAATAGCTCTGTTATTAAATACAGTTTTTATTAATCACTTTTAGACATAAATTATGAATTCATATTGTCTTCCTGAAATGCTTTTCAACTTTTAACAGTCAAATTGATTATACTATGATTATTTCATTAACACACCTATCTTCCTCATTAATTTTGGTTTCTTGTACCACATGCTTAATTGATGGACGTGTCTACTGAAAAACTGTATAACTTTTTATACAAGTAACACTATTATTACTGTCATTTCTTAGATCCATGCTAATGAACCACTGCAGAATGAAATGAAAACGTGAAAGAAACTTGGAGCAGTGAAGTTCTCTTGTTTTTAAGGGGGTCAGAATGGACATGGGTCTTAGGCAGTAAGTGTCAACTTGCTTTTTTTTCCCCCAAGAAGAGATACAATCAGGATGCCAATCTCACTATTGTGGGCCTGCAGCCTTTATTCTGGCGGCATGCCTCTACAGCTCAGGATTTCCAAATCCTACCTCAAGGCGTATTCTAGTGCGTACACACAGAGAAGAAAAATATTCTGAATGGCAACCGACAAAAACAACCACCTAGGAGGACAACCTGGAAGAAATCATAGCCCCTGGACATCACAAGGCAATGCCGCGTTAGAACTGGACGCCTGGATCACAGTTCATTGTTTCAATCAACTGGAACCCAGCTATCCTAGAAAGCCTGCCATTTTCTAACTATACAGCAGTAACCGAAACAGGCATGTTTCTGACCAAACCTAAGGTACTGAATTTAAAAAGAAGGCTGTGCGCATTACATTCATTTGAAACACATAATAAAAAATGCCAAGGTCTAAATTTAATTTATTTTTGTCATTTAGAATACAATGGATAGATAATCATCTCAACGTGATCAGCCAAACATCTTTACTTTGCTAAACTGTTAAAGATTTTAATTATGCTAGCATTGGAGAGCGCTGGTCTAACGAGGCGATGGACTCCAGAGAATCCGAGTGGTTAAGAACTGTGAAATGAGTCTGATAGGATTTTTTTATATTCACCGTGGATCGTTTGCATATCAAAGAGGAGTAAATTATTGCACAGCAGACCAATAACCTTCCCCGCCTTTCTGAGAGGAGCGTTAACAAAAACAGTTGGTCTCTCCTAACGGTTCTCCACGAAAATGTTCAAACGCCCGAGTCTCTGCAATTAATAAATATTACAAAGGAGGCTTCAAATGATACATTAAGTGGTCAGATATTCTTCGAACGCATCCTCGACAGCCAAGTCGGGTTTCTTCTTCCTTCATAAGAATCAAATGCCAATTATATTTTGATGGATTTTGTCCCAAATGAGCGTTTAGTTATTAGGCATATTCAATTATGACTTGTCCCCTGAAATTAAACCTCGGAGGCAAATTAAACAAAGGGAAAGGTCACCACACAATCCCGCGTCCGGGTCTGCCGCATCTGGGCTATTATTTTCCAACACCTTGCGAGGTGACATGTGGGGTGTGTCTGTAGCTAACAGGCCACCGCTGATGTCTGCACACCAATTACCTGCGAAGATGGCTGACCCTCCGACCACTATTTATTCAACTGAAACAATAGTGAATAGGCTTGTCTGTGGATGGTGGCACAGTGATATAAAGCCACACAAGTCAACACCCAGTTTTATTTTCTGGGGAGTAAATATGCATGAAAAGAACAAGCCACCTATTTCTCAACTCAGACTAATTGATTTCTGGGTCAGGTGCATGGGAGGTCGGAAGAAGGAAGAACACACCACGGTTTCTAAGAACCGTGTTAACACTTTCCCCTCGACAGAAGCAGAACTTGGAAGGTGTTTCAAGAGTAAGCTGTTTATCCAGCAAATAAAGACAAAGAGAAATGCCCTGTTACACTTGTAATGCCCACCGAGTACATTAATGCTACTCTCCTCTCCTTCTAGTCCAATAAGGCTAGCAAATCAGTTCCCTCGCCCAGAAGGAGAAACGGTAAATAAAACAGGAACTCACTGACTGACAACGAGGCATCCTTCTGGGTCAAATTTCAATGTGATAATAACGGTGAAGAACATTGTCATCAGACTCACAAAAAGGCAGTCAAATTGGTCTCCTCCATCAATGTTACACCTTGTTAGTGATGTTAAACTGTTAGTTCAATGAATACTATCTACCAAACGATGCTGTTATTTGACAGCCGAGATCTCATGATAGAATTGTGACAGATAAAAGGTAAGCTAGTCACTCATCAGACTAAATGGACATCAAATGTCCAGAAAGCATGCACTTCTTCCAAAAAAATGGTAGATAGGAATAACAGTACCAAGTTAAACAAATCCATTAACAGGTACATCAGCAGGCATGGAATTTTCTCCCAGCTATAGTTTACATTTTAAAGAATTAAAAAGTCAGAATGATACTGAAAGTCTATTTCTTTATGGGATTACAGGTGCTGAGGAAGATGAGATGATTAAAGACACCAAGGGAAAAACAGACACACGCTAATAATGTAAAACAGAGAGAAGGTCCTACAACAGCCCTAAAAACATCCAAAGAAAAGTCCTTCCGTTTCATAACCTAAAACCTCTGGGTGTGTGTGGGGGGGGGCGGGGGGGGAAGAGGCTTCAAGATATTACTCTCTGTTTCTTCATATACTTTGATATTTACATGCATGTTTAAGGCAACTTAGCCAAGACCGTACAGGTATGTAAAAGAACCATGATGATTATATCCTGAAGTGGGGCATTACCAGCATTTTTAACACATAAACCCTGTGCCTTGCTGCATTTCTTTTTCCAGGACAACTGGCCCCTTTATTATAAAGGAAAATGCAGACACAGGTTTAAAAAATGTATGTTGCGGGGACAGCTGACAGATTACCGTTCACGGAACTCAATTTTACAACCCCAGGTATCACTGGCTCCAAGACAGAGCTGATCAACCTTTTTTTGTCCTTGTACCTCCAGAGCCAGGTGACCACGTTCAAGCAAGCAGAAAGTTGATTTAAACCTCATAATGACATCAGTTTTAAGCCATCATCTCTCTGATAAAAAGAAAAACCTGTGTTGTAGTCCAACATGACTGAATTCTCCAGCCACTTTGGGCGAGGGGTTAGAGGAGACAAAACCAACCTCCTGATTCCAAGAGAGATGGCAATGACACTGGTGGTTCACTTCACTGGGAGAAATATCTATATTTGCGTTTATGCATCCCGGGCGCACACAAAGGCACCACCTTAGGCTGTAAATATGCGTCGTCTTAATGTCACGGGGGCTAAGAGTTAGAGCAGGCTGCTAAGCGTATCAATCAATGCCATGACTAGTAAATTACCAACCGGTGTCTCTGATATGTTACTGCAGAGATTACACTTCATGCATCACCACATTCATTTCTTTCACATTACACATGAGCTTGTCTTGTTGTCACTGCCCAATTGCCCTCTTTTGGACAGCTTAACTGATGTACTATAACAATGAACCTTAGTGCAGAAACTTAATAGTATGGGAGCAGTGGGAAAAGATGAGAGAGGTGGACGCCGAGTCCAATGGGTGTGTCAGCCCAGCCGGTGATGTTGCCAACAATAAACCCAAAGACGTAATTAATGCACGTTATAACATTTCGCAAGCACAAAAATGCATTAGCCCGTGTGTGCTTCCCCCACCCCCACCCCACCCGGCACTGCTCAGTTACCAAATCTTCTATTTTGACAGCAACGGAGATGCTGATTATATATCGCGTGGATGAGCAGTAATGGCAGAAGGGGGAGGGGAGGCAAGAGGGAAGTTAAAGGAGGAAAAAGCCCTGGTCTCAACACTAAAAACATAAACAAAACCCAAAGAACCCCAGGAGGGACAGAAGTTGGGTGTGGCTGACTCACTTCGAGAATCAAGATTCCACGCACACAAGCCTCACCGGCTCCGCTTGACACCAAAAGTTACTGAACACGTGGCCACGCCTTCAGCACCATGAGGGGAGAAAGACGTTCCATATTCTGAACCTTTTCATAATGAAACTGAATCCAAGATACCAAAGGCTTTAGCTACCAGCCTTGAGAGGCACATATACACATACATCCGAGTCTACCATGGGCCTTGAGGAGGTAAATGAAATCTACCACACCCCGTACGGGATGGAGGAATTGTATTTCAAAACACGGCATGACTCTTCTTTCCTTCCTGCCTTTCCTTCTTGCTGGTTCTGAATAATCCATTTGTGTATCACATTACACACATGAAAGTTAGAGTTGCTTAAACCCAGAGGATGTCCTATAAACAGCTAGAGTACTCATTTCTTTCTGACGTCCAACACCCATTGGAAGAACACGTCAGTGGCTCTTCCAAAGAAATTTTTAAATCCATGAAATCTTGTTTCCTTTTCAAAGGGCTCCAGTTTTCGAAAGAGAGCTGGAGCTGGACAGGCTGCCTGTTCTGACGGGTACAGAACCAACTGGCTCAAAAACCAACAGTCAGGTGAATACAAAAAGAAAGAAAAGGGAGAACCCAACAGAAAACAACCTTGGCTTTTGTAACAGCAAGAGATGAATCATCGTCGTTTACAGAAAAAGAAACCTGAGTTTCTCCCTAGATATTAAAAAGTGGCATTTCTAAAGCATTACTACGATTTAACACAGAGCAAGTTACAGGATGTACAACACATCTTAAAATGACTAACAGAAGCCTTCAAGAAAATGCATCTGTGATTCCAAACTGAAAACGCGAGAAGATCTGATTAAAATGCTCCCTCAGTCACAGCAGCACTGCCTTCTCTTACTCTAAAAACGTGCAGCATTCTGATCCTGCTAAGCCTCCAGATCACCCTAGGTCTTCCTTTTGGCACCGACGAGCACTCTGGCTTCTGGAAACGTCCATCACTGTTACCTGATCCGGCTTTGCCTCTGAGTGTGTATCGGCGTGTTTTAAACGGACAATCTCCTTCACGATGAGCTGGAAGAAGACGACCCCACCCCCTCCTCCGCCCCAGAGTCTCCAGAGAGCAGCGCCTTCTGTAACCATCATCGACGCTTACCTTGAGCAAGGGGTTGGAGGGGAAGGGCAGGCTGCCCCGGCTGGATCGTTAGAAGGCCTTGGCGCTGCAAAGACAGAAGGTGTTGCTGCTGTAGCTGCTGCATCTGTAAAAGTTGCTGCTGGAAAGCCAACTGCTGGGTAGCCACCTGCTGTTGCTGGAAGAAATCAGGAAGAAAAAAAAAAAAAAAATGAGATGGCCACTGCTGGGGGAAGGTGAAACGTATGGGCATTTCCAAACACACTGTCGCCAGCCAGGACTGAGAGCGCTCACTAAAGTTTCGCGGAGGGCTCGGGGTCAAGGCTGCTTTCAAAGGGACAGAACACATCACCTCCGAAGAGAAGCGAGGGGCTGGGTGTGGGCCCTTTCTGCTGCCGGCTCCCGTAGGAAAATAATTTGACAATCAAGGCAGCTTTTCCTATGGTCTGAAAGGCCTGAGTTCTTCTAGCCAAGGTGTAGACTTCTAGACTCTGAAATTTCTTAGTAGACACAGGAGCAGCAGGCAGGCTATATACCACTCCAGGTCTGGAGGGATTTGAACCCCGAACCTCCGAGGTGTGAAGGGACAAGTTGCCTCCATCCCGCCTGCACGGGGAGAAGCTTTTAACTACTCTGTTTATCACTTCTGACATAAATAAATGAGAAAAAATCAGACCTTTGAAGAAGAAAAACTTCATCTAATATTGTTAATTAGCCATGACAAACGATGAAATAACATTGTAAATCTTTCATAGAAACAGCCACTAGATTTTAATTACACACATTCATAATTTAGCAAACAACATCGTACTCGGCTGTGAGTGTTTAATATGAAGGACACTTTAAGCTTCAGATGCCTTCGCTTGGCTTGAGTTTCAGAAACCCCGAGGTCTGCTTCCCCGCCCGCTTTGTTCTTGCAAAGAAGGGGCTTTGCGAAATGATAAATATCTTTCTGTTGATCGGACAATGACAGGAGGAAAACTTTTGTTGTGTAAAACATCAATACATCATTCCTGTGTTTAGCAGGTCTCGCTCCAGCCAAAAAAATTAATGTAGATTTCCTCAGTAATTATCTGAGTGATAGAAAGATAATACAGTGCAGTATTACAATAAATAGAAGGAAATTATCTAATATCCTTAATCTGCTAGGAATCAAATCGAGGTGGAGGTCTTAGCCACATTATGGCTAACAATTATGAAAGGGAAATTAACCCTTCTCTGGGAAGGGAGTTCTGGGGGCAGGAAAAAAAAGAAAAGAAAGAAAAAGGTTCTTTAAGAAAAGAACAAGATACGTTCTCCCAATTCTGAGTATTATTCAAAACATCAGACACGTTCACAACCAAGAGGACAATACAACTCTTTCACAGAGCTTCTCATAACTACACTTTACAAACAACTGCATTCACTTAACCTAGCGCATGACCTTGATCTGGTACATCCATAAAATGGTATATGTATCAAGACCTTCTGATGTAAAGTTCAAAGGAGGAGAAAAATGGTGGTTTCCTTTTGGGCTCCATGTAGTTTATTTTACAGTAAAAACCATCATTCTCATATTAGCAAGCAATTTCAGACTTACTACCATGCCACTGAGAAAGTTAATTGCGTTTCACTCCAAAACACAAATTCTATACCACTGACAACAAAAATTTAAGTAAATTTAAATGAAAAGCCAGTGTTTTCATTTGAAGAACAGCATGCATAAAGTGACCCAATTGTTTTCACCCCTTCCCAAGTTCTCACATTAATGTAAGAGCCAATGATAGTTATATTCATGTCAAAGTGATTTTTTCACTTCTTCAACAGATATTAACTCACGGCGTTTAAAAAAATGGGTGAGGGAAGGAAGAGAAGAAAAATAACATTGATACAACAAAAGATCAGGGAGTTAGCTCTTGTTGAAGTAGAAAATCATGGGGCAGGGAGGGTGCTGGACTTTGGGGAGAGTGTTTCCCATCTTACTGTAAATGAAATGTTTAGAAATTGTGTATTTATATAAAATGACTGATGGCTGTTCTGTTGTCTCTGTGGCCATCCCTAGGAAAAGCTCATGAGAGCTGTCCGCGTTTGAAAAGTCAGGATATAAAAGTATACAAGGCCCATTGTCCAAAGAAAGAATTTAAAAGCAACACTGGTTGCCAAACTGTGCTCCCCACCCAGTTACCAAACACAGGATACGAGCCCGTTTGTTTACTTCTCACAATTGAATGCATACAAAAAAGGTCTCCGTGCAGTCCCCTGGACAGGTCAGTAGTCGGTGTTAAAATGCTAAAATGCCCTGATAAACCTTGCATTTCGAATCCCCTCCCTGGCGCTGCAGTCAAAGGTCTGTTTTCCTTTCTTCGCTCCTGCCTACTGCCTAACATAAACTGTCATAACTGCCCAGGACAAACGGCCCTTTTAAAACAATCAACTTAGCCTACCTCACCCACACAGGATGGGATCTTTTTTTGTGGCTCGACTTAAAATCAATTCTGCCTTCTCTTTTCCACACCCGTCCCGTCAAAGAGTCGTGAGCCGTCACCTAAATCCCAGCTGTACTGGGGCTACAGAGCACCCATCTCCCAAGGAAGGTCTTAGGTCTAAACTCAACGTGGGGCCTGACTTTCTCAAGGAAACATCTCAAGGCAACTTGAGGGAAAAAAAAAAAAAAAAAAGAGAGACTAAAGTACGTTGCTCTGGCCCAGGATCAAGTGTCTTACTGCAGAGGCGATCAAAAGAGGGGAAAGGGTGGGGGAGGGGGAGGGCTGCCGATTCAAAAATTATGAGCCACTAATGACTGGGGATTCAGTAAATTAATATACTTGTTCCATCTGTCAACATCCGAGTTCAAACCTCGTTAAAATCCTGACCACCAGTCCACATCATGAAATTGCTACCATGTGACTCTACTGCATGGTAGCACACAAGGCCCACCACCTGCATGGTAATTTCAGGAGGCTCCCCGCTTACCTTCGGGAAACAGGGCTCTCCTCATCATTGTTACAACAGGTCTCGGCCACGTCCAGTGGCACTGTGAACACACCGCTAGGATCCAAGGAGACATGCCCGCGGGTCTGGGTCTACCCACCCTTCAGGATGTGAAGGCAACGTCATCTCTGCCTTTCGAAAGGGATGGCAAAGGGTGACCACGACAGACGCAGTGTCCTGGAGATGCCAAATGCTACTACAGTGTAACCACCTTCCCCTGGGTTCAGATACAAAGTATTCCCCTTTCTCCCGGCAACTCCCTTCCCAAATTCTGACACCACCATCGTCTTTGAGCGCCCGAGATGCCCCCTTTCTGACAGCAGCAATTTGGGAGAGTTAACTTTTATCCTTCCTTCTGCTGTGTAACTTTCGGCTTCATATTTCTTTATGTGCCCTCTGAGCTCATCTGAACTTTCATGTTCTCCCAGCATGCAGACGTGCATTCCAAACTATGTCTAACAGACCAAATAAGAGGTTAATAAGAAGTGGCAACAGAAAGGAAAAACACAATCCCTGGTAACTGATAAGAATGACAGTGCGGCCCTTTTTTGTTTGTCTTCAAATATAGAGTTAAAGATCTTTAAAAAACTAAATTTTGATGCCTTTGAAAAGAAAGAAGCACAAAATAACAACAGGGGGTTATTGCCTGTGAGCCACAGGGGAGAAACTCCATAATTCTTATTCTCCCTTTTGAAGGCTGTTAGAAATCTGATTCAAAAAAGCAACAGCAGAAGGGGAAACCTCTTGAGGCTGTAACCATTTCCTGTGATCATGCATAATGTGCTTCAAAAGTGGGTTTTTACCAATTCTGTTGATCAATTGCACCTCCTTCATATCCCTTCTTTTTTCTGCTGTGTTTACATCTGATGTGACTCAGTGACGAGCACTGTCTGAGACTGTGAAACAGGCCTGTCATGTTGATTTATGGGCGCATCAAACCACAACTTGTCCAAACTGAAGCTCGCAGTTCATTAATTAGAGAGTTGTGACTTTGAAGTCAGCTTTCAGACTGTGGTTTTTAACATTTGGCTTAATTTATATGCTCTTGAATGTGGATCTCTAAGGAAAAAACTGAAATTCCCTTCTTGTCTTTGAACTTCTTTTGACCGCACAATAATCATTTCTTTGTCCAGAGTGATGCCTGCAATCCCAGAGTCATTAACGCGCATTGAACTGCCACTGATGAGTAAGCCCTACTGAATTAGAAAAACAGCCAGCAAAACAAAGCTGAGAGCCTTCTGCACAGTGATATCTCACAATTACATGCCTTCCCTCCCTGTGCCATTTCCATTTTAATTACTGTTAGTCCTTTAGATTTACATTTTAGACACTTTTTAATCTGTTCCCTTTTTTATTATAGCAGCACCGGGTAGCGCGCCACCGTACTTAAGGTTGTGTCAGCAGTTTCATTAAAACGCCTCCTCCCCTTCACCCCCAAACTGCCCCTACTCTGCAGGGGTTTCCACCCAGGCTGCTAAACAGGACTCCAGGATGAAAACTTGGCAGGGCACGGAAAATGTACCCAATTTGTGCAGAGGGAGGAGACGGCAAAGTGAGAACGGCTGGCTCATTCCCAGGATGTAAAACGAGCGCTTCCCGGCACCTGAGCTCAGCATCCGGGCTCCTGCGAGGGACAGGGGTGGGGTGGGGGGTGGGGTCACCTGGTGGGACTCCCTGTAAACTAAAGCAAGTGGCTGCCTCCTCTGGGTCAGCACAGAAGCTGTTCAGCGGGATTCGGACCTGTTTATCAAACTCTGAATTGTCGTTCCAAGGAGAACACTCAAATGGAAAGAATTTCAGTCCACCGTGAAAACACGAGGAGATAAGTTACAGCGGATAACTTTGGAATGGGCAGAAAGATGTCACGATAATGCATACATGCCCAGAGATACTCCCCCATCTGACTGAGCCTCAGCGACATGGAACTGCGTAGAAGGTGGGACAGAAACCCTCCCTGGGAAGGCCTTCCCTTTTATGGAGTGAATACTGTCACCTAACTGGGTGGTGGGCACATGTGATCACTACGGGCACTTACAAAGTACCGTGTGCGTAGAAGCTATTGCGATACGCGAGTTCTTCTCGGGAAAACACAAAACAGTCCAAGCCTGCCTTTAGCAGTTACGACCCGTGCAACTTGCAGGAAGAAGTTCAACCGAGATCGGGGTGTTTTGAATCTCGCTCTGACTTTTGGGGTAAGAGATTCTTCTTCCAAAGGCAAAGGCCATCACCACATACTCAAGCTCTCTGAGCTGGGAGCGGGGGGGGGGAACCAAGTGTGCGACCAAGTATAATTTCACTGAGTGCACCTCACCTCTCCCAGGTAGATCCTGGACCTCAGTGGTACCAGTTTGCAAAAGCAGCCCTAAAGTTTCTGCCACGATCCCTCTTCCCAGTGCCCACATGAGGTACACCTGGGGTGGTGTTATAAAATATGTGGCAGCCGGCAAATGGAACCCAGGAAAGTCTGAAAGAAAACAGGACAGTAACTCTCGGTCTGAAGGCTGAGAACCGATACAGTCGGCTCAGTTGTGCCATCATTTAAAAGATGAATGACAGTTTAATAGCCACGAGACAGTCCTCTGGGATCTGCGGTTTGAAAGTAAAATATGTATTGTCGGTACCTCTTTAGGCTGTTTCCCAGCATGTTGTTGTAAAAGTTGAAGCTGCAACTGTTCCTGTTGTTTTTTATAAAACTCTTGAAGCTGCTGCTACAAAGGAAAGAGAGGACGGTAAGTAACAGAGGGTAGCGCCAAGCCACTGTCCCTTTCGGTGCCATATACACGCTGCGATTTGAAAAATGGCACCCTTTTATCTGTAATGGCCTGACCTTTAGTTTGAAACCCGACAATAAATTTCAGCGCACGCTGACTCTTCTTGGCATTATTGTTTGAAAAGTAATCTCCAAAATGAACTGATGAGAAACATACCATTTTCTACACAAACTAATTAACAGAAGGCAAGGGATGACCTTTGATTGTACAACAAAGCCAGAGCGCCCTTGCGGAGGGAGTCTGGTGCATCTCTACTGCAAATCGCGTCCATGCTTGCTAAGTGATAGGCTTGGGCGGTGTTGGGGACCTGTGTTCAGTGTCTACGTCAACTGCGTGGGTAGCATCCTCTGCGTCCTGTCCCCACGGCCTCACCCCAGCAGCTCCCATTCCTATGGTCCCGAGTCTCCCCTATTTGGTTCAGGCGTCCATCAAGTCCGACGATGAGGCCCCCATGGCACAATGGCACCGGAAGTTCGCTTCAGCGTCGGCCAACACGAAAGAGGTAAAATCAACTCTACACCTGACAACTAACCAACTCCAAGATGCTTCTTGATGTTTAAAAGAAAAATTCTGTAAGCTTCTGAGTGGAGATGGGGACTTCAAGAGCTGTCACTTTTAAACCTGCTCCTGACGTGCTCCCTGTTTTGCTTTGATTCACACCATTTAGAAGCCTCTGGCTTTCCAAATAAAAGAGCGCAAAGCCCCCTAAGCCTAAAAGATCTTATTTCTACCAAGTCCAATTACAGCCTTAATCTCAGTCCATTGGGTACTCTCCAGGCCCAAACCCTCGTGGCTTTGGCAGGGTCCCTCTCTTTCAGGGATGCTAATGCAACTGATCACCCAGGGACCGATGTTGCGTCCTGCCCCACCCTCCCTGCTCTGCTTACGCTTCTTCGACGGGCAAAGGAGCTGCTCAGGTGAGGGGAATCCTGAGAGGAGGGACGGGCCCCAAGGGGCCACGGGATGCTGGGGGAGGAGGAAGGACCATTACCTGCTGAAGCATGAGGGCCTGCTGCTGCTGGAGGAGAACCTGGAGCTGCTGAGGGCTCAGCACTTGTTGCTGGAGGATCTGCTGCATTTGCTGGGGAGTGATAACTTGAGGTGTCATCATAGCCACTGACACGGGAACCTAGAACGTTAACGAAGGATAAATAGGAAGCCAGGAAATTGCACGCCCGCAGCACTCAGCCTTCCAGGTCCAGGGACTGACCGGCATCAGCCTGCTTCCAGGACTGGCCAATTTCCCAAGTGCAGGGCATCTATCCAGAGGGGATGCAGCCACAAACCCTGTTTAATCTATCAGGCACATTGATTTTAAATAAAGAAAAATAAAAGAAAACCCTGTAGCCGCTGACAAGTGCTCCCGATGGTCTGGTAAACGAACAAGGAGTAAAGGCTTAATAAATGCTACCTGGAGTGAGGTTAGTATGATCTCAGTTTCTTAATAAGAATGAGTCTTTGGTCATAGTGAGATGTAGCATGTTAACGCCAATGTGAATTTTGTTTTAGGGAAGAAGGCAAACAGGAACCAGTACTTTCCCGGCTGGAGCTAATACGATCCCCTTCCTCTGTGGACAGTGGTTTTAAGAACAATCAATGAACGCTGAGTCTTGTGGACAGCTGAACCTTGAATGCACCTTCCGAACTTCAACACAGACCCTTCCTCTGATGCCTTTTAGCCTTCCTTATTCACCCAGCACACAGATGTCTCAATTCTTTCATATTATGTGCGATACCATTAAAAGCTGCTTTCCATGACATTTCAGTGACAAACAGCTACAGTGATGAACTTGATAGCATTTCATATTTGCAACTGTTAACACGTTTCTGCACGGGCATCTCTGCAAGGAACCTGCACGCTGTATCTGAAAGGATGATGTCTTGTTCAGATAAAACACTGACATTAAAATGACAGGCTGTCTTGGCCAAGGTTACACAAATTGTATTCAAGCGGATACCTAATGACAATGCTATGAATTCTGCAAGCTTTCTAGAATGTAATTTAGCTATTCAAAATAATCACTGCACTTGTGTTTAATTTGCAGACTACACGAGAACCATTTTGTCAGGCCCCGTAATACAAGAAGACTATTTCATGAAAAATTAACCCCCCCACACACACACCAAATAAAAAGATAAGGAAAGGGGAAAAAAAAAAAAAAACAATGAAAGAAAAGACAAAACCTGTATGTCTTCTAACAGTAATATTTAACCACCTTACTTTTCTTTGGTTTCTAATCAAACATGTGACAGCAAGAAGCAAGAAGCAGTAAAGGGTATACTTTGTTAAAAAGGATCTGCTGTCATCTCATGTATTACAATAAAAGGTAATAACATGTTTTGCACTTTGCCTGTGTGCCACTTAAAAAAAAAAAAAAAACCCCAGCAGACAATAGCTGATTAGAAGATAAAAGAATTTAAAAATCTTTCAGGGGAGCAGTAAGCAAAAGGGAGGAATGCAGTATTAATTTTATGTAACATAATGTCTTAATATGCAGTTTATCTTGACTTTTTCACATGATTTGTCCTGTCATTTGCATAGCGAGCTCTCATTCCTAATTTCACAGTCATTATGCACTGATGTCCCGATTTCTCAGCATCACTAATTTTGATGAGCTAAAAAAGGTTCCTGAAGGTCAGATTCACGTACAGTGAACAGCCTCCACCGTTGTTGCGGGCATGTTTTGTGGGGGGGGGATGTTTATGCACAAGTTTCACATTGTTTGGAAAACACTAGCTGGAACATTTGAAAATTTTCATTAACCCTAGTCTGGAAGGTCATCAATGAATTCTTCCTATTGCAGTGGCCTTTTAAGCACAGATGTAGACACACTGTAATGTTAGACAGATGGGCATGTCTGAATATTTTTATATGCAAACAGGGACAGGTGTGTGTGAGTGGATAAAGTATCCTTTTAAAAAGATGCTCCGCAGCACGAAACATCACCAATGATTACAACAGTGAACCTGCATTTAATCTAGGACAAACACCAAGAAGACATGATCAAAACACCTAACCACCTAGAAATTCATTCCAATTAGTCGACTCTGTCTTCATACAGCAGGAACTTTTTGAAGTTTTCAATCTCTATTGGGTGCCAATCTCTATCTTTTGAGCTGCGAAAGCCAACGTATCACAATAGAAGTTTACTTTTCCTTGAGAGTTGCATCATCATACAGGGAGGTTTGATTAAGCAAACAAAAGAACCATGTTTAAGGTTTCTTTTTTCCCCTGCGTTTCTTGGATGATGTACAATATAAATATTCTTGAGCCAAATTTCTGATGGTGATGAACAGGAAAACAGACAGGAACAGGGTGGTGTTAAGATCTAAGCTGGTGATGAACGTGAAATTAACAGTGTTACAACAGAAACCATCATAGGAACAATCTCTTGCTCATAATGTTTAAAAGGACTATGGAGAGCCTGTGCAAGAGAAGGGCACCAGAGAACTTCTGGGGCTGATGGAAATGCCATCTATCTTGGTTGGGGTGGTGGTCACAGAGGGTGGATACAATTGCCAAAATTCTTCCGACTGTATACTTAAAACAAATGCATTTTATATAGGTAAATTATGCTTCAATAAAACAGATCTGAAAAGTTTTAAAAAAGGACTTACATACACAGCTAATTTTTAAACCCTCATATACAGTCAACAGTTTAAATCTCCTTTTCCCGGAGTTACTTAGTCAATTTTTGTCATCATGTTACAGAACAGTAAAACGAACTTGAGTCTCCTCTCCTTTTTCCCTTTGGACATCTCAACGGAGGTGGTGACAAGCAATCAGATGCTTAAAGCAGCAGCAGGCACAGCCAAAGGAGGGAAAGGGGCGAGAAGCCTGAGTAATCCTCCAGCCTGGTGACCGGTCTCTGAATAATCAGAAGTGGGCTATTACATCCCGATGGCCTTAACTTTGCTTTTCCTATCTGAAACCACATTTTCACACAAGTTCGCTCTGAGCTTCCAAAGTGGGCTCGAGCTTCATTTATAAACATAATAAAACTAAGATCTTCCCAAAGTTCCTCCTCCAACGTGTCATGAAAATCAGTTAAGGAAAGCTTTCACAAACATAGCCAAATGAACCAGAAACCATTGTGGGGTGGGAAAAGGAAAAATAAAACATTAAAAAAAAATCTGAGCACAGTGTGAGGCTTTAAATAGTTAAGAATTATAGCCCACATGTCCACTGCCTTAGCTCTCGACGTCTAACTTTTACATGTAGCTAGTCCCTACTAATACTGGGAATCAAAGGGCATGCAGTACCAGCGAGAGGCTATTATAGCCCACACTTTATTGCCCATTACCACTGAGGTCATTAGCGGCAAGAGTGACTGTACTGGTCTTAACCTATTGATCGCTGTAACTACTATCATTTAATCCTGTGTTGAATGTCTGGAAAGCAGCTACAGGCACACAAGAGAGAGTGCTTCAGCATTGAGAAATGTGGCCAAGGCTTCGAAATTACACTTTGATTCATAAAATCTAGCCAGTGGTTTAAATCAATAGTATTTAAAACAGTCATGTGAGTTTTTAACTACAGCACTCTAATATATATGAGCCCCTCTTTCAGAGTATTCAGTCGAAACTAAACTCCCCCCCCCCCCCGCCCAATACCATGCACCTACTTTACCCTCCTTTAGATAAAAAGATTAATTTCTGAGGTTTTGTGTGGTACGGGGCTCACGCCTTAACTAGGAGTTCAAGCTAATGCTCGATTTCTTCCTCAAATGACAATTTAAATATAATGCAAAAAAAAAAAAAAAAAAAGACCTGTATCCCCGATACTGTAACTACCTTAACTGTTTGAGTATATAGAAATGAGTATGTTTTATGAGTTAACAATGAATCATAGAAGGCAATTTATGAAGAACGGGAACGATTCTGTCTAGCTGCCTTCAGGGATCAGAAATTCAAATTAAACTTCTGGCAGACATTTAAAGAATGCTAGCATACAAAACTGAATTTAAACACACACACACAGTTAACACTCTTTAGTTGAGTTTCAAGGGGAAGTCATGAATTAAAAAAAAAAAATTGGTTGATACACTACTGACTGATACCAACTGGGTGTGGCCCACCCCAGGTACACAGGAACCTGCGAACATGGCAGCCGGACAGCTGTGCTGGGGCCACTGGGACACGGCTGCTGGTGTGGGCCTGCTGCTACCTTCCTACCAGCCACTGGGGAGACGTCCTCTGCACCAATAAGTGCTGTTAAAAGCCCATCCAGTGCTGTGTAAATTCTGCCTGATACAGTTTTCTTTTACTTCCAAATGGCTTTATATCATCTGAACGCTAGAAGAGTATTAAAATAATATGGCTTATTTTTCTCCTCCATCCTCAACAGGGAGAGGTAGGTAAGGGGAAGGGGAAGAAAAAAATCTAAAAAGCAAACAAACAAATAAAAACACCCATAGAAACAATACTGATTTCTAATCTAGGACACAATTGGAGGAATTGGGTGGGAGGGGAGATGACACAATATAAATACTGAAAATAACATGTTACCCTTTCTTTTTCTTTCTCTTTAGTTTACACGCACGTTAACTCCAAGGAAATGCTGCCAGGTATAAACACACATAGATTTTTGGACCTCAGCATTTCTCATAATTGCTATGTGTACAAATAATGCAAATGAGAAGATAAAAACATTTTAAATACTGCTGTATTTCCATTTCTCTGGATTAAGAATTTAGAAACTACTTTTCATCTCTGGTTATTCACCTTGTGGATGTCCCAAGAAACTTAAGTCCCTTCTAGACCTCGGGCTGCGTTTGAATGATAACTGACCAGGTAAGGCAGTGTCACTTGGTTCATCAAATAAGAGCAAAATGAATTAAATTAGAATGCTCCAGAACATCAGAACAAAACCAAAGAAAGTGGCTACACACACAACACACCTATGTCAAATTTGATATGATCATGTAGAAGCGAGCCTGTATAAAAGAAACTAAACAGCAAGCCCCCCCCAATGAAAGACAACAGTTTTCATAATTAATAACCCAATGGATACAACTGATATATCGGCAAACAAAAAAGTTAGGAAGCTTCTATCTGTTCCCCATGGTGTTTAGAAAGAAGAAGAAACACACACACACACACACACACACACACACACACAAACCCAAA